AGAACAGCTAATCGTGTATTGTTTATCTCGGCCGTAATTTGGGTAGTTTCTAGTCAAAGAAATTCGAGTTATTTTACGAAACAAACTTTCACACATAATTTGTAGCTCTTCAGTTGAAGGAATTGTATGCTTTGATCCATACATGAAACTAATCGCTGATGAATCTCTATTGAAATTATTTGGACGAGGCTCGTAACAAAAGCAATTTTTTTCACAAACTAATCTAGGTATTATCTTTTCTTGGAAAGCGCGGTCAGGTTCATAGCTTCTGAAAGTTCCATTCAGGGAGACTTTCAAACATTTCATTTTCAAAATTCATGCAAAAATGTTCTGTAGTGGTTGAGGCCAAAATCATTCTCAGTGGCTCTTGCAGCTATCTGCATAGCAATACAATCCATTCATAAACCAGTTTTTATGCAAGACATATGCGCCTAGAGGATTTATGAGTTCATCCTCTACAAGGACAAGTTCTGCACCTATTGTCACGAAGTGCAAACGAGACATGAGTACGGCAGAATTTGTTGTATTTCGGCGATTCACACGAATTTGCAGAAATGGAACCAACTTTATATCTTCCCTAGCTTTTGAATGTAGGAGAGGATCAGACTCATAATAGAAAATTTACTTGTTGGCAGATAAAGGGGCAGGCCCAAAATTTTTTGTAAATTTACAAATTTTTCAAGCTTGCAAATATATCCTGAGGTGAGGAAGGACAGGTCATGAAAACTTTGGTAGTGGCTGTAAAAGCCTCAAAATTATGCGGAAAAAATCATAAATCAGATTGAGTAGATTCACCGTTAAATATGGTGTCCTTACAAATAACAAATATCTGCGCATAATGCTGGCATTTTGCGCGCGCAAATCATTTTCGGGCTTTTTAAGTTAAACCTGTGCCCTGAAGCTTCGTCTTTTTCCCCTATGTCCCGCACTTTACGAACTTCCGCACTTTTCCCGCCCATCTATCCACCTCCCAGAAATTTCCAGCAAATTTATCCGAGCTTTATGGTTTTTCTGATGAATAAGGTTCTCCATGTGAACAATATACACTCCCTCCCTGTGTTACGTATCCCTCGATTTATGGTTTACAATTCAGGTCCCCGACAATGCCAAAGCAATAGATGTTTATGCTGGAAAGTACCACACAATCTCGCTGCAGCTGCAGCGAGGTGACGTCATAGCATGGTGGGCTGTCGGAAACAGAAATTTCGGTTTCGGATTGTTCCATGCACAAAACGACGACGATAATGATTATGCCATGTGAGTTGGCTACCCGCCCGCAAAAACTGGTTTTGAGATAGATATTTTATAAGTTGTTTTCCTTTGCAGTATGGACCAAGTAGTGCCAACATTTCCGTGGATGCCTGGACCAACAGTAACACCGCTTGATGATAGCGTCAAGATCGTAGAGGTGGTGTAATTTTTCACAGCTGTAAAGGTATCCTTTCGCTTTTCCTACACACTGTTTCTTCTTTCAGGATGGCCTCTATAAAATCTGGATCAGCAATGAACGATCGTGGTGGTCGACGCTAAGCGTTCAACTCCGCGTAGAAGTAAATGGGCGGAGCGAAAATCTGACCTCGACGTGATAACCTTCAATGGAAAAACCTACTTACAAAAATTATGTAAAAATTCAAATAGAATAAAAAGTGAAATAAAATGCATGTTGTTATATACTGTGATAGGTATGCCTAATTTCATATTGGTTGAAATAGAATCGGTAGCGAAACAACAGCAGCGAAGGGGACTTTATGTCGCCGATAGGCTCCACCCGGACATCTGCTACAAACCTGCAATGGCCACAAAATACATGGACATGGTTGCGTGATGTGCTGCAGATGCCCTCATGGGACCTTTTCCTTCCGACGACGTATAGTCCTCCACCCCTGCTAGCACGAGACTGCAAAGGGGGCAAGCTCTAGGGCCCGAAGATTCCATCTTATTGTTAGGATACTGGCTTCCTCTCCACACCACT